TAATTGCTAGCATCTCCGGGGGCTGCCCGCTGCTATCCTCTCTGTGACCACTGAGGCGTTCCTGGAGTTCGTTTACTGCGGCGGTTTGATCAGTCAGGCACCTGCTGTTGGGAGGAGTGAGGACGCCGGTACGGTAGAGCATGTCCAATTGCTGGAAGTAGGGACAAGTCTTTGAATTCTCTGATCGCCGTTTGGAGCTGTCCTTTGTCTTTCGGAAGTACTTGTTGATGTTCTCCCACTTCTCCTTGCAGCGCTTGGAGCTCCGGCTGTATCCCATATGTCCCATGCTTGTGGAGATCTCCTCCCATAACGGGCCCTTAGCACCGGGCTCCTGGAACTTCGATTCCATCCCGCTCCTGAGACGAATCAAGGCGTGCACCTCCTGCTTTGGCCACCTCTTGCTGTTGGGATCGAAGTGCTCTTTGAAGTCCTCATCCTGCAAGTCCGACTGCTGCTTTGCAACCGGAGTTATGGCTTGCGGAAGCTGCAGCGTCTGGCCAGTCACTTTCTGCAGGAATGCCACGAGCGCAGCATCCCGGGTCGCCGCAACTGACCGCTCCTGCGACCGAAGCTCCTGCTCGCGCTGGATCCTCCCCAGCTCATGCTTCCTCCATGCGTCATCCTTGAGCAGCCTGTCCTGCTCACGCCTGTCTATGGCCTCGAGAAACTTCCTGTGCATGGAATCCTGCTTGTCCATGAACTTGCGAATCAGGTTCTCGAGGAACAGCATCTGCGAAGCCCAAGACTTCCTCTTCCGCTTCCTCTTGTCGTTCCGGTCCGGTTCGTCGTACTCCTCGTCATCGGTATCCGAGAGCAAGTTCGCAGCGCCGTCGCTGTTCTCCGAAAATCTCTGGCCCGAGGAATTCGCTCCGTTGGTCGTCGTTGGCGCCATCCCACTTCCGCTGGACAGGAGGAATGGCCCATTGCTGTGATCCTCGCCTTGCAGCAAATTCGCAGCGCCAGCTCCAACTGTGGCTGGGCCACCACCTGCTCCACTAGAATTAGACCCATACAAAGCTTCCAATTGCGCAAAAAATCGGTAGCATTTTCCATCCTGTCTACCGGCTTTGCCACCTTTGGTTTTCTTGTAGTACTTGTGGACGTTCTCAAACTTTTCCTTGCATTTTTTGGCGCTCCTCTGGAATCCCAGCTCGCCAAGCCTCCTGCGAGATCGTCACAAATGCTGGTCAGTCCAAAGAAGGAAGAATTTCTCACACAACGAGGACGCGAAAGTCCCTTTTTACACACACAAGAAGTATGAAGGCTTTACCTCGCCATGAGTGTGAATCTCATGGGTTTCAAGACAGGATCTCTCGCAAGCACGCAAGCAATGAAACAGGAGTTATGGGAGAGAGAAGCGAATTATATACCTGGAAACTTCTTCCCATAGCGGCGCCTTAAGACCAGAATCCCGGAAGTTTGCGTCCATCTCGGTCCGGATCCTTATCAGCGCCAATGTCTCCTGCCGCGGCCATCGATTGCCGCCAATTCCTCGCTCCTCGCCGGTGGTCTCGTCGTCGCCAATCGTCGTGAGCGTCTGCCTGTAGGCCGCGCTGCCGCTTGGAGATGGCCGCGTTGCGATGGGCGATGGCGCCTCGGCCGAGTCTGGGCTGAGTCCTAGCTGCTGGACGACTTGCTGCTGCTGCTGCTGCTGGGTGTGGAGGTGATGAGACTGCTGAATTCGCTGGTGTGATGCACTGGAGCTTTGGAGATGGTGGTGCGCCGCCGCCGCGGCCGCCACTGCTGCTACCGCGTGTTGCTGCTGCTGCTGCTGCTGCTGTGAGTGATGGATTTCCTGGGAAGAGATCGAGAACATGTGATGCGAGGCGTGGCCGCCGCCAGGCCCCCTCCCGACCACGAATTGCTGCACGTCGGGAGGAACTCCATACGTTTGCATCCTCACGGACGCCAAAACGGAGCTAGCGAGCGCGTGTCGGTCAGATCGAGATGCCGCTTCTTTGCATCGATCGAAATGTCGCCAAGACGATTCCAATTCCGATCGATCTGCTGCCGCGCAGCATTCACTGTATCTTTGGAGCTCCGCCGCGTGATATTACGGAGCTTCTCTTTCTCCTCTCTCGCTCTCTCTCTCTGTGGCCGCGACGATTTGCGTTCTTTACTGGCAAAGATTGGAAAGAAGGACCGATTCGAGGGGAAAGATCAAAGATTCGAGGCGAGAGCAGCTAGATTGAGTGAAATCTCGATCGGGGACACACACGACAAACATCATATCACGGAACAATTCAAGAAAAGCGCTGCAGAAAAAAAACTCTGAAACAGTGGACTTCTCCGCGCCGGGACCCTGCGATTCCAGTGTAGGGACACTTGAAAAAACTCGCTAAACCCTAATGATCACCGCGCTTCCTCCGCCATAGCCTCTCTCTCCGCTCACGCTCTACATCATCAAACCCTAGCGAGGGCTAATCTACACAGCTGGAATAAATTTTTTTACATTCACTTAAAAAGAATGCTTTGCGTCGCGCGCACAAGAAGAAAGAGGCGAGGTGGAGGTGTAGCTATGGCGGAAAGAAAACCGGCTCAGCCAGGAAATTCGGCCACGTGTCGGTGGCGGGGCTCGCGACCGGTGGGTGCCGGTAACCGCCTCGCTCAAGAGCGTGGCCGGGAAACCGGCTGGGGTCGCCAAGAGGGCGGCCGGCCGGCCTGATTTCCCGACAGGTTTAAAGATAAACAACACCCGGGGTTTGGGGTTTGACCGGTGGCTGCCACGTGGCGGCATTTTCGTTGAACGCGCAGCCAACGGTCATTATTGTTAACTAATCCCGCGCGGGGCTGCCAGAGGCCCAACGTGCGTCGGCTTGAATGCGTGGCGGGATGACGTGGATCCCACCTGGAATATCCCCTCCAACAGACATGGCAATGGAACTTCTGTGTGTTCCTCTTGTCACGAACAAGGCAAAGAATGCGAGGTTTTGGCTCTGGCGTTTAAGGAAATCTAGAGACCCATTTAGAAAAGAGAGAATTGCGTGTGTGGTGGTGGGTGGGTGAGAATGATCCCGAGTCAAATTCCATGGGCTCGGCAGCAGTACTTAGTGCACATTGATGGGGAGTACCACGCCCATGCAAACAGTGTGGGCCAACTTGCCCTACAACCAGGGGGGGCTCCGTGCCCTAGAAATTGGGCCCTGGCCATTCTATTTACTGGAGCCGCCCACATATTTTGTTTTGTCGTGTCCAGACTGGCCACTGGCCACATGCCATTCCCACCGCCTTGACATGGTCCACATTCATAGCTGGCGCGCGACCGGCCGGCCGGCCGGGCACTGGCGCAGCGTCCGTTCGTTTCGCCACCGTCCGATGGACACACCCGGAATATCCCCCACATTGATTTGGCTGTCAACTTCGATGCCATGGAATCAATCATGGATTGGACTGGCATCTGGAGAGATTCCAAGGGTAGGGTTTGTTGCAACGATGGCGATGGAGGATGTTAAGTATAACTTGCGAATCGCGATTTGGATGGTACTGGTGGATGACCTAAAAACTCCAGAATATGCTAAAGTGAGGTTAACAAAATAACTGTTGACATCCATGTGAGAGGATTTGTCGTGGCATTTCTGGACAAATTGGCACGGCCGGCTTTGTTTGATTTAATCTACTATAAAATACGTGGTTAGTGGGGAAGCATGTTTCGCCGCCCCTCAAATCATCATGTGTTGGCGTAAACTATACGGGGGGAATGTAACACCGCAACACAACGAGGCCACCACCACGTAAGGTGGCCCACAAACCAAAATTCCAAGAAAAACCAAAAAAAAGGTTTTTTTTTTTTCTTTTTACTTTATAGGTTGATATTTTATACTCGAGATTGGCTTCATGTGCCACAGCCAATAATGTTCGTGGCCATGTGAGAAAAAGCCAAAGGTGGATTGGAAAAAATCAAACCAAAGCAAAACCCATGGGTCCCAAGGTTTGTGACACTTCCACGGGTTAAAATACTTGTATGCGATGCGTCTCGAGCGTGGCGGGCAAAAACAAAAGCGGGCTCGAATAACGTACGCGGGCACTTGGTACGAAGATCGAAGAAGCGCTTGCCATTCCTTGACTTTTAACTCTCTCGTGGTCCCCTGCTTTGGCCCCTCGCTGGTCGTACCATAGCTCAATAGCAAACGTACCAGCGATGATCGATGGAGGAACCGATGATCTGTATGATTGGAGCGATGATCTCTTCATCGTCTCCTTCTCTGGTAACGATTGTCTCGTCGCTTTCTCTTCGTTTGAATCAAAGCCTGTCTGGCTGTCGATCATGGACTGCTCGTCGAGTCCAAGTCGTGTGTGATCGACTTCGCTGGCGTTGATCACTCTCGTTGCTTCATGCGTCTTGTCACGAGTGTTGTCTTCCTCCTCTTTCCCAGGAGCATTGTTCATGGAAGGAGACCACTCCGATTCAGTATTTCATCGCATGACGTCGCCTAGATTGACGTAAGGAAAAAAAAAAGAGAAGAAAGAGCTGTTTTTTTTTACCGTAGAGTAGTAGCGTGCCGTCAAGTGTACAGGACGTGTTCTTAGAGCGACAAAACCGATCGTTCTCTCCCACATTGAAGATTCTGACGTTACTACGAGATGAATCCAATCCGCACGCAATAATTGAGGTGGCCCTTTCCTCTCGATTCACTGCGCTGCTGAGGTCTCCGCGTTTTTGTCTTGTTGGAAACTGTGGCAGAAGATTGCTAGCGGAACCCGAATTTGTTTGCCACCCCGAGAGGAAACCAGAACAGCTTCACTTCTTCTTCTTCTTCTTGTCTTTCTTTCCACCCTTCTTATCCTTTTTCTTTTCCGGTTTCTCGGCGTCGACCGGTCCCAGCTTCAGCGTAAGCTGCAAGAATGAATAGAAATAGCACCCAGCATTACGTTACGTTACTGTGAAGTGAAGAATTTTTACCTCCGAGAGAGCAACTTGTGCTGCAGTCCACTCGAGCTCTAGGCATGAAAGTTGATCGGACAGCAGGGCATTCTCCCTGCAAATGGCGGACACTTGCTCTGCGGTGGTTGCTCGCCACGTTGTTGTTTTCCCTGAAAGCTGCCCCCACTGCGGTCTCGGAGTCATTTGATTAACTTTGTTGGCAATCTCGTCGATCTCAGCTTGCGTCTCCGAAAGCTTGCCTTCCAATTCTAGCATTTCAACCTTTGCTGCGCAATATACAGTCTTCGGCACGCTGCAGGTGGTGACAAAAGTTTTAACATGCGAGTAGGAAATTCCAAACCTGTCAGACGCTTCCACACGTGCAGATTCAAGGAAGGACTGCGTGTGTTGCAACTCGTGGACCAGTTGGGAGTACTGAGCTCGTAGCTTCTCGTGCTTTTGCTTCTCGACATCCTGCAGCAAGTGAACCGTTGAAACGGCTGGCATCTAGAGCGATGACGTACCTTCTCGTATGCTATCTCCCGAGCTTCCAGAACCAGCACTCTTGCTTTCTTCAAGTCTTTCTTCAAAACCCTCGACTTACCATGCAATATTTTCACCTGAAATGACCCAAAAGGAGGCTTTGAAAAGTGCAGTCAGCGAGTTTTCATGACATACCTTCGATTTCGCGGCTTCCAACAGGCTTATCGTGGTGTTTAGCTTAGTTTGCAAGTCATTGCTAACAGCTTCTGCTGCCTTTATCTGGTCCCTCAAAACCTGTCCAAGGCAAACAAGAATCTATGAAGCTGTAAACTAAACATACCTGTATGTGCTCTTCAATACGGAGAATGTCGGCCTGCCTTGCTTGGAGCTCTTCTCTCCATTTCTGATGTTGCTCCTCCAACTCCTTGTTCTTTCCTTGCAGTCTATTAACGATCTCAAAGTACGGCAGCTGATAATGGCTCTTGTTAGACAAAACAGAGAAGGGACTTTTTAAGTACCTGTTCAAACGTCGGTGTAGTACCGGGTGGGACGACATAATGGCTGAAGATGGCATGCTGAAGCTCGTCTTTTATATGAGACAGAACTCGAGAAAAGGGCATGCTTAGTTTGCATATCTCGTTGAAAATCTGCCATCTCAACGTGTGTTTTTCAGTTCTAGAAGAGGAAAAAAAGGAGAGCAAAAGTTACCTCCCAGCATACAGCAGTTCTGTGCACATCCGGAATTCCAGGCTCGCTCTCCCGCTCCTTGAGAAGCTCGGCGAGTTTCACCTGGAACAAAGAGTTCACAAAAAATCCCAGAAAGAAAAACTTGTTTGTTACCCAAAAGCAAGTGTGTGCACCTCACAGTACACTGCCGAGGACCGGAAATTCGCAGCGCAGGAGGATGGCTTCCTGTCCTCGCCGCTGCCCTCCTCGTCGGCGCAAATGCACCTCACCACTTTGTCGTCGCTACCCGCCCTGCGCTTGTGCGATCGCTGGTCGCAGTGGCACTCGCGCTGCCCCAGCGATTTCACCTCGGACGACGGCGCCGACCTGATGAGCCGCGGCGTCTTCTGCCGCGCCGTGGGCGGGAGGAGGCGGAGCAGCGCCTCGTGAAAGGAATGCACCGGCTTGCGCGTGAAATCCAGGCGCTCCTCCAGCGTCTTCTGGCTGATCTTGCTGATGGAGCCGCGCCGCGCGGGCGGCTTCATCTCCAGCGTGGGCAGCATCGTCACGACCACACGCCACGAGCCCTAACCTTCCGGAAGCCCTAGATTCCAAATTACGGCGGGAGACCACGAATATTCGCAATGTAAAACTTTTGTGTTGTTATTTCCAAAGAAGATACAAGATCTTTATACAAAAGTGTGAGTTCTATCACTTCCCCACTTTCCCCAAAAACTTCATGTTGAGGATCTTCACGTCCGTGCCTGTTCGTACAATGCCGTCGTCCGAATCGATTCCTATCAGCTTACCGCTAACGCCTCTAAACTCGCCATACACGACCTTTATCCTATCATTCTTCTCCGGCTGCACAATCTCTATCTCCGAGTGGCTCACCGTCACCGTGTCGTCGCCGATCGAGAGGCGACAGTAGCCGTCCTGGTTACACACACATTGCGTTACGCTCACACCAGCAAAGAGCAAGAATCGAGAAGCTCGACTCACCGGCAAGACCTCCTCAATCACTCCAATCATCGTGTCGCCATTGCGTCTCAGGGTGACCATCAGCTCCGGCAAACCCCATTGCTTCTCCAGCTCGTGCATGTTAAAGCCTGTAACGATGGATCCATCACCAACAGCTGGGAAGATTAAACTTGTGAACACTTTACCGGTAGCTGGAGATGTAGGATCCAGAACTCCGCTGCCTGGTGTCATTGGTTGGCCGCCGGGAGTTCCAGGGACAGCAGGAGTCATAGGCAGAGCACCAGGAGTTCCAGGGAGATATGGGCTTGATGGATTGCCTGCAAAAGGAACACTACAAGTTAGACTGGATTGTGATGAAAAATGAATATCAATACCATAGTGAGCGACGGCTTCAACTGGCGAGCCAGAATCAGCATAACTCCCAGGAGTATTTGCCCACCCAGAGCCAGGCGTTGGTGCTTCGTATGATCTAGTCGCCAGTGGCGTCCCAGGCTGTTGCATATATTGTGGGGACGTAGTGTGGGCGCCCCAGCCGGTGTCGTCCCTGGAATTTTACAGGGAATTAGCATGTCTGTCCTTGACACGGCTAAGGATAGTTCACCTTAGAGGAGTTGTCGGATTCCAGGCCCTGTCACGCATTGGAGTTCTCATTCCATCATGAATGGGCGTCGCTGCAAAAAACAGACTTTGATTATATATTCTTTCCATTTTCGCTGCGGTACCTGATGAGTCCCTCATAGGTGTCATGTATGCAGAATGCATAGGCGTCCTGGAAGGATGCACTGGGGTCTGACTTCCCATGCCGTAGCGTGTAGGCTCCCTGAGAGAGAAAGAAAAAAAAAGAAACTCAGTTTCGTCGCATGGTTATTTGTTGAACCTGTACCTGAACGAAGATTGCACGTCTCCAATGTCGGAGAGAATGTCACGGTCGACTGGCCGTTCAAGACGTTAAGTAAACAGAAGACTGGTATTTCAGACTGTCGTACCTGTGACGATCTTCATTTGCGATTCCAGCTCTATGCGTACACTTCGACCACCACTAGCATCAACCACACGTCCCCGATAGCCTTTATAAGGTCCAGTTCTTATCTTCACACTTCGACCAACGTAGTTATCGTTTCGCCGACCAGGATTGCTCACGAAGCCTGATCATAACGACTATCGTTTAGAAAAACTTCCAAAATTCTATTACTTACCACTTGGAGGACCGTACGGACCCCTGACTGGACTTCTCCGTGGAGATTGAAGGAATTGAGAAGGAGGTTTCAAGGAAGAAAATGCAGCGGCTATATGATTCTGCATAGCTGAAGGTTAAACGCTACTCATGCAAACCAAAGCACACTACCTGTTTGTCACCTCTGGAGCCACCCAAAGCTAGGCAAGATGTTGCTCGAACACAAATAAAACCTCCATTTTCAAGATGTTGCCGGTCTTGTACAAAAAGAATGCCCCGATTTATATGCTCTACAACCCCTTGCTTACCCTGAAAAATAAACTCGATACCAAGACATTTCTACAACTTAACCAAAATACCTTGAAAGGTCCAGAAACAACTCGGACAATGTCTTTCACACTCACGACATTTGTATCCCGATCTTGCGTGTTTATCATTTTGTTGTATAATCTTTTCCTGAGATCTCGTTGTTTGACTGTAATCACTTCTTGTTTGTCAGGTGTCCCCTTGAGTACCTGTAGATACACACATATTAGAAAAGTAACAGCTGATTTTTGAAAAGTTACCTGACATCCATCAGCCTCAATCCTTACAATCACACCAACCGTCATTGGACTGCAAATCAACACATTCTCACACATGAGATAAATTAGAAGAAAGAGAAACATACTCCAGCGCAATGAGATCGTGAAGCTCGAATTCTCCCAGCTTGGTTAGGCCACAAGTAACCTCAGATGTTTCAACAATGCTATCCCTAAACACGCGGACCTGAAAAAAGAGTAGCACATCAGAACCAGCAGCCAGGAATGCGGCGTTTCTTACGTCTTCTTTCGTGGTGTCAGAAAGAATAATAACAGAGTCTCTTTCAATCTTCACAATCATCCCCGTTGCTCCTTCATGCTTTCCTGATGTAACTTTCACATGGTTTCCCGGTTCGAAGTGTTTGCTAAGTTGCTTGATGTGAAATCTAAGCACATCCTGCAATCCAAATAATGTGTTGAAATAAATAAAAATGGTTTTCAAATGCTTACCTTCAATCCTGACTTTTTATCAGGACGAATCTCGACGTTATCTTCGTCCACTTTCTCGACAACACCCTGAATCCCTTTCAAATCTCCTTCTACGGCCACCACTGTGTCGCCCTTCACAAACTGACCACGCTTTCTCGAGGATGACAGCCCAAATGCGTCCACGCTGTCGTCATCACCAGGTTTTTGAAAGCTTTGAAGCTCGTCCAATGAAGGCATGACGTCCACGGCGTTTAAAGTTTTCAGTGATACGTTCTTTATAAGGTACCCATCCATAAACTGCATATTTGCCACTTGCTCGTAATGATCACCACGAGCATCACGTCGTCTCTCGATATGCACCTTCATTTCTCTGGATGAAAGGGAAAAAAAAAAAAAAAAACTCAAAGATGTCCCAAGAGGGAAAAGTTTTACCTGAGTTCTTGCATAACAAAACGTTGAGGTGGCCTTACAGAAAAACCTTTTGATTTCGGAATTTCTTTTCCTTCCTGAAGGTAATTCCGAGTTAGAGTATCCAAGACAAACAAACAGTGCACTTACAAGTTTGGCCACTAATTCTTGAATCTCTACCCGAGGAACAAGCTTTATCCTTGCTCGCTGTCGAACGTGATCAACGTCAAGTACCTGTTTGACAAAAAATTACAACAAAAAACTATTCAGCAGCCTCGTAATACGCTTACCCGCGCGAGATCTCCCTTGTAGAGGCCTGTTTTGACTCGCACCCAGTTTTCCTTGTCAATGTCAAAGGACTTCTTCTCTACAGTCAGTACGTCTGTCATTTCTT